TTCTAGTAATTCTGTGGGCCCTGCCCTGTTTTGTGCAAATCATTGTAAAAATATATAAAGAGCTTCTTGGGAAAGTGCATGGTATACAGCTCAAAGCCCTTCCTCCCCGAATGCAAGATGTGTAGCCAATGACGGGTAAGGATAATATTTTACTCAGGATCCTAAGACAAAGGCCAACATGTAATGTTCTTTCTCAATGACGGGCAACTTGAGATGAAGTTCTTATCTGCCTAAGACAGGCAGCATCTATTAATAAAAAAAGGGGAATTGTGGAGTCCTATAGAGCCAGACTTGAGCTACTCCAGGTTGCTTTACGATCAGTCCCAAGCAGTAAACAAGCTTTAGGAACAAGAAGGAGACAAAAGTTGCTGACATAAGTCACAAAGAACCAAAACTGCTGATATGTCCTGAAGATACAATACACAATGGAAGAACTTGAAGTCAGCATTCCTGTGTGTTTTGCTTATGTCTGTAAAGTTAAACTATGAAGTCAATGCCTTTGTAATTTGCTGAGGTCTGTAAACTTTAAAGATGATCTAGGGGTTTTTGGTATATAGGAAAAAGCTAAAAAATAAAACTTTGCTATCCACCATCAGCTGATCTCTCTGTGTCTTCTTTAATTCGCGTCCTTCCCTTAGGTCTCCTGCTCAATGTAACGAGGCTAGACCCCATTACTGTGGTGCCAAGGTTGTTGCTCAGCGAACTGAAATTGTCAACAACCTCAATCTCTTCTCCATCTATCGTGATCTGCCTACTGGTCTGGGGGTGGGGTTTTTTGTTTTCCTGATGTTAAGATAGGTTCATCTTAATGTTTAAACTGACATCCTTGCTCTCAAGCACTTTAAAGAAGTTCTTGACTGCAGATTTGCTCATTTAGTCAGAGAGAAGGACAATGACTAAGGATGACAGAAGAAGAATTGATGCCTTTGAGTTGTGGTGCTGGAGAAGAGTATTGAATATACTGCCAATCTTGATGCCACATTCTTCTTTATATAATCTAGATTCTTTAATTATTTGTTCAAGATATAGATTAAATAGGTAATGGTGTCCTTTATGTTATAAAATTGGCTTTTTAAAAAACAATCAAAATGCTTGTGATATATTCATAAAAGTGACTTGATGTTTTCCATTCACTATCCGTTTGGTGATGAAAGAAGAAGTTCAGGCTGCTTTGAAGGAAATGGCAAAAAAATAAGGCTCCAGGAATAGATGGTATACCAATTGACATATTTCAGTTAACAGATGCTGCCCTGGACATGCTCATCAAGTTGTGCCAAGAAATCTGGAGAACGACCACTTGGCCAACTGACTGGAAGAGATCGATATTTGTTCCTATCCCAAAGGAAGGTGACCTAACAGAATGTGGAAACTACAGAACAATCTCACTGATTTCACATGCAAGCAAGATTTTACTGAAGATTATCCAAAAACGACTGGAACTGCACATCAACAGAGAACTACCAGAAGTCCAGGCTGGGTTTAGAAGGGGTCGTGGTACTAGGGATATTGTAGCTGATGTTAGATGGATCTTGGCTGAAAGCAAGGAATACCAGAGGAATGTCTATCTGTGTTTCATTGACTATGCAAAGGCATTTGACTGTGTAGATCATAACAAACTATGGCTGACTCTGAGAAGAATGGGAATCCCAGAACACTTGATAGTTCTAATGAGAAACCTCTACTTGGACCAAGACGCAGTCGTCAGAACAGAACAAGGAAACACTGCATGGTTCAAAATTGGGAAGGGCGTACGCCAGGGATTCATCCTATCTCCATACCTTTTCAAACTATATGCAGAAGAGATTATCCGGGAGGCTGGGCTCTATGAGGAGAAATGTGGGGTCAAAATTGGTGGATGATTTATCAACAATCTGCGTTATGCAGATGACACAACCCTGCTTGCTGAAACTGAAGAGGACCTGAAGCGCCTGGTGCAGAGTGTCAAGGACTGCAGCCTACAATATGGATTGAGGCTCAATGTCAAGAAGACAAAGATTCTCACCACTGGACCAACTGGCAGCATCAGGATGGATGGTGAAGAGATTGAGATTGTACACAGCTTTAGTTTGCTTGGCTCCACAGTTAACAGTCTTGGCACCAGCAGCCAGGAAATTAAAAGGCGCATTGCCATGGGAAAGTCTGCTGTTAGGAACCTCTCCAAAGTACTGAAGAGCAATGGTGTCTCTCTGGAGACTAAGGTGCGTCTGATACAGGCCATGGTCTTCGCAGTTACTCGTTATGCATCAGAGAGTTGGACAATGACCAAGGAGGATAGAAGGAGAATTGATGCCTTTGAGCTGTGGTGCTGGAGAAGAGTATTGAGATTACCATGGACTGCTAGGAAAACAAACAGATTTGTCCTGGAGAGGGTTAAACCGGGTGGCTCCTTGGAGGCAAGGATTATGAGGCTCCGTCTAACATACTTTGGACATGTTGTGAGGAGGGACCGGTCCCTGGAGAGGGATATCATGCTTGGGAGGGTGGAGGGACAGCGCAGGAGAGGAAGGCCCTCTATTAGGTGGATTGATTCAGTGACTGGGATAATTGGGATGGGAGTGTCAGAGACAGTGAGATTGGCACAGGACAGAGCAGAATTTAGGGCTGTTGTACATAGGGTCGCTATGAGTCGTAGGCGACTCGACAGCACATAACAACAACAACAATATCCGTTTGGACATACTCAGCAGTAGGAGGCTAGTGACCTGCACTTTGGATGAAAATTCTGACAGTTCTGTGACTTTCGTTGTCATGAATGAGAAACTATTTTCATTTTCCTAGTGTCCAGATTTCTGGAGCCTTTTTTGGACTTCAAGTTTTTAAAGAGCTGCTTTACCTAAAGTACTTTCAAGTCAAATAATAAACAGGTAAGCAGATAAGTGGAGACCTTAGGCTGCAGAAGCTCTGGTGGCTTGACAAATAAGGAGCTATGCAACCAATTTAAAAGCACGAAGTTCATAACTCCATGCGATCACCCCTCCCTTCCTCTTTCCGCCATCTTTCCGTACTGCCACAATGGTGCACATGAACGTCCTGGCCAACACGCTCAAGAGCATCAACAATGCCGAGAAGAGAGTCAAGCCCCAGGTTCTCATCAGGCCGTGCTCCAAAGTCATCATGAGGTTCCTGACCTTGATGATGAAGCATGGCTACATTGGCGAATTTGAGATCATTGATGATCACAGAGCGGGGGAAAATTGTTGTCAACCTCACAGGCAGGTTAAACAAGTGTGGCGTTATCAGCCCCAGATTTGATGTGCAGCTCAAAGATCTAGAAAAGGGGCAGAATAATCTGCTCCCGTCCAGTAAGTTTGGTTTCATAGTACTTACAACCTCAGCTGGTGTCATGGACCACGAGGAAGCAAGACAAAAACACACAGGAGGAAAAATCCTAGGATTCTTTTTCTAGAGGTGTAATAAACAGTGCAAATAAAATGCCTCAATGGAAAAAAAAAGCACAAAGTTCAAATCCATCCATTGCAAAAGACTGACAATCTCCTCCCATAGGATTTATAACCTCTTAACACTCACTAGAGGGACAGTTATGGGTTGGTTCCAACTGGACAGCACATGACAACAGTTTTGAAAAGCAGAATCTGGCTAGAGGTTGTGTTTTAGGATATATGGAAGTTCTTAATGACTCTTTCTACAACTTACAGACCCAGAAACCCTACACTTGTTCTAACTAGAACTTCTGAGGAATTTGTAGTGGCCAAATTTCCTGGCCAGACCCAACCTACAGATTCTTTTCTCACTATCAGCTCTTCAGTGATCCTTCCCAATACTTTCCCTTTGAACATGTTAGATTTGAACCCTATCTGCCAACAAGAAATATGTTCTGCTACACTAATTTCTGGTGTTTTTCTGTGCATTTAGGTTTTTAACACTTTTAAACTGTGATTGCTTTAAATCAGCCTCAGTTTCTTATTGAAACCTGACAGTCCCAGGTGCCCTTAAAACTCAGCACACTTCTTTGGGTTAGCACACAATACCTTCTGCCAGCCTTTGGGAAGGGAATACAGCAGATTTCTTCTGCTACTCACCTCCTTTCCACCATTCAGTTGCTGTTAATTACTGAGCAACATGAGCACAAAGGAGGATGTGTTCTTAGTTGGCTGTTCCTGGACAAAGGTGACTTATTCAGCCTCTGAGTCTGACCAAGAATTGAACTTTCTTGTGGAGGCTCCTGTGCTGAACCTAAAATTCTCAGGGTGTGGGAAGTGTGTCCATTCCTCTTGTTGTACCTGTTCATCTAGCCCTGGTTTCTGCAGATGAAGTAAAGAATGGGGACACTAACAATTTCCGGCAGCCAAGACATGGAGCTAGTTTTTAAAAACTCCCCTGAATGTTTGTATGTGTTCTGGTTCTTCCTTTGGCCTTGATTTACCATAATTTCCCCATGCCCATATTTCCAAAGTGGTGCTGGCAGTGTTTTCAGATGGGTTCTTTTGTACCTTGCAGACAGCACACAGCAAACCTTGCGGAGATGTGGACAGATGCCTTCCTCATGCTGGTGTGGTGACAAAGAGAGGGTGGAGAGCAGAGGAGGCTTTGTGACCAGGGATCCTGGGCAAGCAAGGTACCAGGCTCGTCCACCAGCTAGGCTGTGCAGCAGACTTTATGAGTGCTTGGTTTGTAGCATCTGCTCTGCACAACCTCAAGGAATTGACAAAGTGTCACTGAGCAGTTCGTTACTGGGCTCACAGAATCAGTGTGGATCACCTACTCTTCTGTCTAAAGAAGCAGAGGCCTTGGTGCACTCATCCACAGCCACTCACCTGTTGTTCAGCATATGTTAGGGAAAATGGAAAGGCACCAAATGGTCCTGGCTCCCAGCATGTACTTATGATGAGAATGGTGTTACCACGGTCACTGCACTGGGTTCAGAACCCTTCAAGTCACCATCTGTCTGTCACAGATAAGCCACCACTGCAGGTCTGTTTTAACAGCAGAGTTTATTGATGGGACTAAAGTTTTGAGTCAGATCGAGGAGCATCCTCTTTTCACTCTTCTTTCTCATCTCCATGAGTGATGACGTAACACAGTGATTTATAGTCAATGTTCCCTGCTAGGTCCATAGGAGTCAGCGCGAACATCTGCTCAACCTGAAGGAATCATGGGGGAGAGGTGGCCTTGGGTTCCAGTACTGTGCAGCAGACAGGTGCTGAGGCGCTGGCCCAGAGCAATATGAAGGGAGACTTTAGCCCCTCCCCTCCTCAACCCCAGGAGTGCGGTAGTCCTCAGCCTTTCTGCTGTCTGATATGTGGGCTTGGAGACTCTTGGATGCTGAGAGTCCTTTTGACACTCCAGCTTCTGCTCACTTGTTGAAGCACGTCAGCCTTTGACTTAACAGTTCTGACTGCCTACTATATCCCTTGCCCCTCCACCTCCACTCACAAGATCTGATTGGCTCTTCCCTACTTGCCCTTCACTCCTTGGGCCTAATGCAGTATTCCCAAACTCTACTGCAACGGGACTCAGAGCTGCTGTGTATCGTCAGGTCAAAACTGACCCATTGCTGACCATCTAGCAGCTTTTCAGAGACCCTATATCGCACAGGAGGAGATTGTCCTTCCTTTCTCCCACGGAACATCTGGTTGATTTGAACAGCATGCCTTTGGGATTGCAGCACAGCTCTTACCACTAGTCCCTCAGAGCTCAGGGCTCCAGGTAGAAGTCAGAAAATGGAGTGGTAAAGAACAAAGACATCTCACCTCAGCCAGAGAGAACTTGTCTGCCTGGGTCAGGAGGAGCTGCTTGAACCTGGAGGAATTGAGAGGTCTGCAGCATGATTGGCTAGCTTCATAGGGACTGGGTGGGGGTTTTCACGGCTCATTCCCAAAGGGCATGCTCGGAAGGCTTTCAAAGTCTAGGCAATCACCCTCACACACTGGAGCCCCAGTGCCCAGCCATTCTCACTTACTCATCCTTGTTTACTACCCCCTGGCCACTGGGATCAAACATCCGGAAGGCACTCAGGATGGCCTCCTCAGGGTCTGTACCTGGGGTGAGAAAGCCAGAAAGGTACCCACTGCTCATCCAGCTGGCCACAAGCAGAAAGAGCCCATGGTACACAAAAAGCTCCCCCCTGCCTCATGACCACAAGGTGTCCCTTAGAGCCTGCAGTGGTCAGAAAGAGTCCAAGGTTAGGAGCTCGGGAACTGGAGTTTGGAAGTGGCTATAAAAGTCCATTCATTCATTCTAGAGTTGGGACTTTGCTGGCAGTGCTTGTGGCATGTTGGGCAGGTATGCGAGGTATGGAGGACATGATCTCTGGACCTGTGTGGCCACTGTCGGTGAAGAGGCAAAAGCTAGGGCTAAGGAGTCAGGATGGGTTCCCAACTTCACTGCTTACCGTTGAGCTTCTCCCCAAAGAGTGTGAGGAAGACAGTGAAGTTGATGGGGCCCTTCCCTTCCTGTAGCATGGCATCTAGCTCCTCCTCAGGGATGCTCACCTTACCTAGAGGCAGGGAAAGGCATGAACACAGGGATTCTGGGCTGCCCTCACCCGTTTTCCAGCCTCAGCTTGCACAGGGAGAGGAGGTATAGGAATAGAAGTAGAAGAGAGGTGTGGGAAGAGAGATGAAGAGATTGGAAGTGTTGGTGGAAGGCAGAAGGATGTCCCTGAGAGAAGCAGGAGTGCAGCTGTCTGAAGAGAGCTGTCAGGAAGAGAGAGGTGCTCACGAACCAAGTTGGGAGTAGGTCTCTCTCAGGTCGGACTTGCAGATGATGCCATCACGGTTCTGGTCAATACAGCTGAAGGCCTGTGATGCGGAAGGCATAGGCTCCTGGTGGGAACCAGCACCACCATACTTCTTTGGAAGGTAGGAGGTAAGAGAGTCCCAGGTGGTGTAAGGAGCAAGGCCTAGGGCAGATCTGGGGATTCTTGGGGCTGCACTAGGGCTATCAAGCTGTGCTGTTTGAGGAACACTTACTTCCTTAAACTCCTGGATCTGGGCTTGTTCAAACATGGAAAAGATGTTGGATGAGCTGCGCTGGGCTTGCTTGATGGCAGCAAACTTGCCCCTGGTTCCCGCTTTCCTGCTGGCCTGTAGCACTGTGAATGAGAGAACTCCTCTCCCCTCCTCAGCTCCCTGCAGTCCACCCTTTGCCCACTTGCTGGGACATTTCTCTTCCTCACCCTGGGCCCTCCTCTGGGCCTCTGTGTTGGACCAGGGCAAAGGAGAGCACTTTCAATGGCTGGGCATCCAGTCTACCTCTCTTCCTTGTCATTCTACCTCTTGGGGAGCTGCTTCTGCTCTCTTGACCCATAGGCAGCAGTGTAGCAGCACTGTGAATATGATCTGGTACTTACCATCCTCTCAAGCTGATCTGTGTCCCTGTTGTGATTGTTGGCTCCACTGGGCCACAGCCTGCTTTAATGTGTCAGCCTTATCACCTGGTGGACCAAATAAGGAGAAGAACCAAAGACAGGCCCAAACTTGGCAGTGTTGCCTGAGCTGGGACAGACAAACCCTTCTGTCTACTCCACTACTGATTCTAGCTGCATTCCTGTCACCTCCAGGCCTCCAGTGGGATTCCTCATTTGACAAGACATGTCACTCACACCAGGGTAGAGCAGGCTGATGTGACTCTACAGAATGCATGCAAGGTCCTCTACCTGGGGTTCCTACACTCACTAAATTTGGCTTCAGTGTCTTGCCCTTCACAGAAAATTGGGACCATTCCTCCTGTAGATCCTTCCCTGCCCAAGAAGACAGCTGACCTGGGATGGCTAGGGTCTGAGGATGGACACTTCAGGCTTCTATGAACACTCCCCTCTGACCATCAACAGAGGCTGTCCAAGTTGGATAGTGGTCTCAGGTCAGTCTTTACTTGATTTAGAGCCATTCTGGGGCAGCATTCTGGTTATTCTTCTATCCCCAGGCCTTTGCTGTGAGTGCCGCTTGTATAGTGCATCTCAGTGGATGCTGTAATTTCTGTGTTTTGAGATTTCATCACCCCTTAAATTCTCTCTCTACCTCCCTCTACCTCCCCCTCCCTCAGGAAGCTGAGGAAGATGTCAGCGGCCTTAACACAAGTTCCATGGCCGGCTGGCTGTGTCTACAATTTCTATAACTCTTTATCTTCTGGCTCTGCTCAACGAGGGTGCCCAGATCTGTGTCCCCAGAGGGTTCAGCACCTGCTGCTGTATGTGACATTTTTAATGCTTATGAGATCATACTAGTGACAATAGAGCAGATTATCTTGACCCCAGGTTAACCTCAGTGAAACTGAATTCTACACTGGGGGTGTGTGTGAGGTTTTTGTCACAACCCCTCCTGTGACTGATGACTGCCTTAACTGTGATGAGAGCTGTGTCACTGTGGGCTCTTGCCTGTGTGTATGGAAGGGAGGAGCTATCTATTGGTCCCCCAAAAAAGTTTCTCCCCACTGAGGATGCAGAAGAGGAGGTATCTGGGATATAGGAAACTTTCCTGAGGTCAAGTATATAGGCTCAGCTACAAGACTTTCCATCCGTGGTTCCCTCCAGTAGGGCGTGAACTGTGTATATTAGGAATTTCTTTCAGTGTGGCCTTTGGGGTACATGGTGAGGAAGAATACAGAGAAAGGCTGGTTGGGAGAGAGTTTCTTTCTCTTTCTCTGGAAAGCTTATATCTTACTAGATTTGTGAATACTTCCCTTTATATAAAAAATAATTAAGAACACTGGGGCCAGTCCTTGGAAAAAAGATACCATTCTGGGCAAAGTGGAAAGTCAGAGAAAGAGAGGAAGACCGTCAATCACATGAACTGGCACAGTGACTAACAGTGGGCTTGAGCATATTAGAAATAACGAGGATGGCACAGGATAGGGCAAGATTCAGATCTGTTGTTCATAGAGTCACGGTCAACTTGATGGCATCTAACAACAACTATTTGTTATTCTGGGCTTCCTTGGTTAATGTATACAGTTAATATGCTTGACTGTTAATCAGAAGGTTAGTAATTTGAATCCATTTAGACATGCATTCTTGAAATTGTTGTTGTAGAAGATCAAGGAATGCAGCCTTCAATATGGACTGCATCTCAATATCAAGAAAACAAAGATTCTTTGTTTTGGATGGAGAAGAGATTGAAACTGTCAACAACTTCATCTTATTTGGATCCACAATACTGTGATATCAGTATTCAAGAAATAAGGAGACACATTGCACCGGGAAAGTCTGCAGGTAGGGACCTATCCAAATTATTGAGGAGTAATGATGTCAGTGTGAGGACTACGGTGTGTCTGATTCAGGCCATGGTCTTTCTGATCACTTGCAATAAATAAGGATGACAGAAGAAGAACTGATGCCTTTGAGCTGTGATATTGGAGAGTATTGAATATTCCATTTTTGTTGTTATGTGCCACGGAGTCACCTGTGACTCATAGTGACCCTATGTACAACAGCTAAGAAGCCTGCCCTGTCCTGAGCCAGCCTCACTGACTCCAACACAACAACCTCCATTGCCCTAGTTACTGCATCAATCCATCTTATCTGGGGTCTTCCTCTCCTGCACTGTCCCTCCACCCTTCTGAACAAGATCTCTTTCTCCAAGGACTGGTCCCTCCTGGCCACATGTCTAAAAGTATGTGAGACCGAGATTCAAAATCCTAGCCTCCAAGGAAAAACTTGGTTTCACTCTCTCCAAGACAGACCCATTTGTTCTCATAGAGGTCCATGTTATGTTCAAGAATCTTCTCCAGCACCATAACTTAAAGACATCAATTCTTCTTCTGTCATCCTTCATCATTGTCCAGCTCTCTGATGCAAAGCAAGTAATTGTGAAGACCATGGACTGGATCAGACTCACATTTGTACTCTCAGTATTCTGGAGAGGTCCCTGACAGCAGATTTACCTAATGCAATTCCTCTTTTTATTTCCTGACTGCTGGTGCCAAGAATGTTGATTGTGTAGCTGAGCAAGCTGTAACTGTTAACAACCTCAACAAACAAATATGTCTTGGACAAAGTGCAGCCAGAGTGCTCTTTGGAAGCAGGCATGATGAGGCTTTGCCTCACATACTTCGAGCATGTTGCTAAGAGGGCCTATTCCTTGGAGAGGGATATGATGCTTGGAAAGGTGGATGGTCAGCGAAGGAGAAAAAAACCTTTTATCAGGTGGATTGACATTGTGACTGCTACAATGGGCTCTTGTGTGTCAGAAAGTGTCATGATGGCACAGGATAGGACAGGATTCAGATCTGTTGTTCATGGGGTCACTATGAGTCAACAAGTACATTTGGGAGCTCTGGTGGCTTAGTGGTAAGGAATTGCACTACAAATGCAAAGGTAGGTAGATTGTTTGAATATACTAGATATAAATCTCAGTGGGAGGAGACTGTCTGTTCCACGGAAGTGCAGATGGATTGAAACCACATGAGTTGTACAGTCTTTGAGTAAGCAGCATAGCTCTCAACTGAACATCTGTGTCTGTAGCCTGTAAATCTTGTGCTCACCACCTCTGCATCGAGTGAATCAGGAGAATTCTCTTTCCTGAGGTTGCAGCAGGCAGGAAAGCAATAAGAAACTGACTTTTAATATACTCTGTAATATGCTGAAACAAACATGTCTTTAATAATATTTTTTAAAAGGAAGAAATATCCTGTAGTCTAGAAAAATAATGGAAAGAGACCTCTTCGTAAGGCTGAAGGGAGCACTGGTTGCCCAGTCTGTAGGGAGATGTACTGCTAACTCAAAGGCAGCATCTCTGAGAAAAAGATGGGAAGTCCCCTCTGGTGCAGACAGTCAGCCTCCTGGAAACGTGCTGAAGGGTCAGCCATGACTTAGCTCTGAGTTTGAATTTTGAGTGATCAAACTGAAGCTCTTTGTCCCCTAAGTTAGAAGCACAATTTGTCCTTCTACTCTATAAGGTCAACTGACCTTTTTAGGGTCAAGCTTTTTTTTTATTTTATTGGGAAAATATATTGGGGGTACAAGGAGGTGAGGGTTGGGGGCAGAAGGGTGAGGATGGGCCAGGATGCAGATGCAGAGTTTCACAGTTTGGTCAGTGGGGGGAGCAGGTGAAGGAAATGATGAGGGTCCAGTGGGGACTAGATGCTACAGAGGAATGACAAGCATTTCCAATAGTCATTAAACCAACTGTCTTATTGATTTGGAAATTGGATGCCGACTCTCTGGCTTCTTCATGCTGAACAGGGGCGTAGATGTAAAGGGGGGAAGGGAGGA